TCCGTCTTGGAGTGAGGTGCCCAAAACTGGACACAGTATTCCAGGTGCGGCCTCACCAGCACCGAGTACAGGGGGACAATCACTTCCTTGCTCCTGCTGGCCACACCCTTTCTGATACAAGCCCAGATGCTGTTGGCCGCCTTGGCCACCTGGGCACACTGCTGGCTCACATTCAGCTGGCTGTCAACCAACACCCCCAGGTCCTTTTCTGCCAGGCAGCTTTCCAGCCACTCTTCCCCAAGCCTGTAGCATTGCATGGGGTTGTTGTGACCAAAGTGCAGGACCCAGCACTTGGCCTTGTTGAACCTCATACAATTGGCCTCGGCCCATCGATCCAGCCTGTCCAGGTCCCTCTGCAGGGCCATCCTACCCTCAAGCAGATCAACACTCCTGCCCAACTTGTTGTCATCTGCAAACTTACTGAAGGTGCATTCAATCCCCTCATCCAGATCATTGATAAAGATGTTAAACAGAAGTGGCTCCAATACTGAGCCATGGGGAACACCACTTGTGACCAGCCGCCAACTGGATTTAACTCTATTCACCACAAAGAAGGAAGGATCTGTCCATGGAGAGGACAGGGGCAGATTTATCACAGGTGTAAGAAGGGAAGACAACAAGAAGATGCCTTAAATACTCAGGAAAAACAAGAATTTATAGATCTGTGGTTTGAAGCCAATTCAGTTGCCAAACACTGATTTTCTCTTCAGTGTTCCTAGAGCCTTTCAGTGCCTGAATCATGTCTATGAAGCATCCTCTGGAGACGGTTTGAGAGGATGCCTTTAGGTAGCTGCAAGCCCTCATAAGACAAGGCCATAGCAAGTTGCCTGTTATTGCTGAGATGTCCCAGAGATGGAAAGCACTGCTCCTGAAGTCAGGCTTGCCAGGCACCCTCCAGTCTAAGATTTTTGGTTATCATAATATGTAACATTGCCAGATGTCTGAGTCTGGCTGAATTACTGGAAAAGCTCTAGGGAAGAAGAAACAGAATTATTTACTGTTTTCAAGAGACAGAAGTTAGGGAAAAGTTTGTTGTTTCTTTAAAAAAATAGTCTTACAGTAAACCGAGAAGCAGTGTTTCATCGTCAAGGCCTGATGCCTCCAGATTTTTGTGCACTGGAGTGTAACTTGCCAGGCGTGCTGTCCTGATGTATGAGGTACACTTTTCACGTTAGTTGTGAAAATTCTCTTTAGAAATCCCAGCTAAGGGGGAGAGCTTGAAGGTACTGAGCATTTTTTAATCCAGTGAAGAAAAAACTGAGTGAGGACATGACAGCAATCTTCCAACATCCAATTATTCCCTCAAGGCCACTGGGAAACATAGAAAATTATTAGCTTCATTTCAAGCAAAAGAGGTTTATGTTATGAAAACCCCAACATTGCAATGCTGGCTGAAAAACCAGGCCACCTTGCGAAACTGTAGCATCTCCTTTACTGCAAGTTTTTAAAAACAAGTTAGATGAACATTTTTCAAGGATAGTCAAAATATACTTAATGCTACAGCACTGCAGAGGACAGAGTGGATGATGTCAATCTCTCCGGCTCTGCACTCCCATAGTAGTCTGTATCCCATCCTGCGGCCGGGTGGGGACTCAACAGTTACTCTAAACATCTCTGGTTTGGGAAAAGGGAAGAAGAAAATTGAACAGTTCTACTTGCCTACAACCAACTTCTCCATATGCCACTGAGACTTATCCGCTTCTTCAGTGCCTCAAGGCACTCTCCTTCAATATTCCATTCTTTGGGTTTTTTCTCCTAAGCTTCTTAAGTCACCAATCCTTCTTCTTTTTCTCCAACGATGGATTCATTTAGCCTCCCTGAACCTCTGATAACATTTCTGGAAATCCAACTAGCCATGAAACATGTTGTTTGGATCCTCTCTAAAGGCACAAGCCAAGAAAACACTCTGTCCCCTTCACATCACTTTTCTATTCCCTCAAAGGAAACCAGTCCTTTGAAGAGGTGTTTTACTCCTGCAGCTGCCACACTGCTCCCTGAATCGTCCCCAGCCCATGGCCCTCTAACCACAGCAGCCCCATCAATTTAAAAGGTAAATGGGCAGCAATACAAGAGAGAGCGAGGGATCATGCTGGTTTATTGCTGCAACAGGACTGAGTGTTAGCTTCCTAAAAGGACAAACTGAAAATTCGAGTAAGTTGGCAAGACATGGGCCGGAGCCCCGGGACAGCCTGCAGGAGGAGCTCTCTAGACGTGTCGCTTGGTCCCTTCTCAGTCAGTAGCAGCTGCATGTTCCAAGGGCATCACTTCACTCGCAGACAAACCATTGGCAGAAGGGATGGCTGACTTCCCACTTCTGCGACTGAACACTTCCAGTGATTTTTCAAACCTTTTGGATGCCGCCTTCCACCGTGCCATCTTTCTCTCCTGTTCTTTCAAAAACTGCTGCTTTAAATGTTTGTGGAAACGTTCTGTCTTCTTTTTGGCCTCTTCAAAGTGTTTTACCTTTATGAAAGCAAACATAAAACCTTATAGCCACTATCCTAACCACAAAATAAAGAATCCCAAAGTGATACTTGTCTTCAGGAAGAGAGACATCCTGACACATCCCTCACTATGGTCAAGGTGACCTCCAAGCAAAGAAGCTTCAAAATTCCTAAGTATCAATCTAAACATTGGTCCAAAAAAGATTACTCAAATCATCCTGCCTTCTTGACTATAATTAATTTTACACTACTGTAAGAAGCAGGTCTGGAGGACAGTAGTCACACTCTCTTGCATTCTTGCATCTCAGACCCAATCCATTACGCCCATAACAAAAAGCCCGCATTATAAAACCAGCCAACGATAATGTGGTCATCCGGTTTGACTGGGCTCTTGACAGGAATTTACTGGGCAAGCTAAAGATCTTTGTGTCATCTGTGCACCACAGGTGTAGCACGGGCTTCCATGCTTGCAGGCATGCAGTCTCTCCAGCTCTAAGGGGTTTGCACCCCCCTGGGTCTCTTGACTGTGAACAGAAACCTGTCCATGCGTGTGGCACAAACACAGAGCACACCCACACGGCATCACAACACAGCTTGGGGCTTGGTTGTAGCCTAGAGCTAATTCACTCACAGCAGCTGCGCTGCCCTGAGGTCTTGAAACTCACACATCATAAACATTTGCAGGTCAAGAGGATCTCCTCAGCACACAGCTACCTAGAGGTTACCATCTTTCCACTGAGTTAAGGGATGAGGGAATGCCAAACCAAAGAAAAGATGCCTCAGCTCTGCCTCACGAGGCTGTCATCCCCAGGACAGCAGAAAGAAACCTTGAGTTGGGACCTGTTAGCATCTTTCATGTCTCAGATACAGATTTTGGCAAGAGACACTGGGAATTGAAACCATCAGACATTAGTTTCTGTATTAGACTTTCTTATTTGAGCAAACCTCACCTGAAAGGTGAAGCCAGGTAAGCCTTTTTCCCTGTACTCACTAATAACTGCTATGGGGCTGCACAGTTTACTGCCTAAGCGGGCTCACTCACACACAGAGCCAGACCCCAGCAGGCCCCTACAGTTCTGCCAGAAACAGTCAAGAGGGTAGACTTTGTAGCCCCATGTTATAAAACTTTGATTTAAACTGAAAAATTGCTGAAATCATGATGCTTGGGGTTTCTGACCAAAGCAAGATGGCAAAGTTCCTTGGGATATATGCAGTAAGGTGAGAGGAGAGGATTCAGGTGGTGCTGGCTGGGTACTAAGGACAAAAAGTCTGGCTACCCAGGAGCAGAGAGGTGAGCTGAAGGGAACTACACAGTGCCTGAAGATCCAGTTATGTCTAATGCCACCCTAAATCCCAGTTCTGAGCTTATAAACTCAACCTGGCATCCCACCCATTCCCACAGGAGAGACTATCTCACCGGCTAGTGCTAATGAACCTTTTACCGCTGGACTCAAAGTGAGAAACACTAAAGGGGGGATTGGGCTGCTAAATGATGCAAAAACTTTGCCTAGTCCCCACTGCTGGGAGGTCACACTTCAGCACTTCACCCATTTCTAATAATTTACCCTTGGTCTCCCTAGGTATCATAGGAACAACATCTAAGTCCAGGTTAAGTCCATGGCTGACAATGCCTGTAGCTTATCGTCCCAAAACACAGTTGACTTGCAGATAGGATATAGCAACTGTGCCCTGAGGTCACAACCATTCACGTCAAAGGTGGCCCAAGAGCTGATAGCTGCCTCCCCTCAACCATTTACGTCCCTTTCCCCTGGAGAGACCCTTGGCACCCACATCCTGATCCAGCAGGCTGAATACCTAAGCGCTGAGGACTTAAGTGATGGTTTAAGGAATCTGAGGAACTCAGACCTGAGTGTTTGCACAAGACATTCCTCCAGCCTTGTGTCACCTGTGGCTCTCACTGCCAACCTCTTCAGAGGTGGGGAATCTCCCTCCGCTTCTCCAAGATACATCTGCCAGAAGCCAAATGCAGAACAAACCCTCCCCTTGTGCCCGAAGGGGCTGTGAACCCTGTCCTGGGGGGCAGTGCCAGCAGGGCCTGGAGGGGTAGGGGGGAGTGGAGGCCGTCACCTTCTTCTCCAGGAGCAGCAGGGCATGGCAGCTGGCACGGCTGGTGGACTTGGGCAGCGGGCTGTCGAGCAAATGGCTGTCCAGGTCAAGGTCCAAGTCTGCAGAGCTGCTCCAGGTAAGAGGGGGCTTTATGTCACACAGAGCAGGGTGCAGGGGGGTGCCAAGCCATACCCCACTGACCTGTTCCCG